GAGATCTAGTCCTGGCGTAGTTATGTCGCTATGCAGTATGCTGTAAATTGCACTCCGTTACCGAATAATCATATTCACAATAATTTGGTCTGTTTATTCATAATATGTATTATACATAATATAAAATGTATTGCGTAATTTATGCAACAGTGTTTTCATTGAATTGAGAACAAAATGTATGTACCTGCTTCATGATGTGATTACAAAATGTAAAGCGTTATAAGAAGAAAAACTGTTGACAAAATAATGTAGCAATTATTCCATAATCCATGCGTAAGGATGAACATTCATAATAAGTTATTAATAACATAACCCGATAACTACTACCTTAAACATTCATCTATCATATTATATGAGAAGCTATTAAGTGTAGAAAAACGAAATAAAGTTATGTGCCTACATATATGAGTAACTGACTAATAACTCTAAACACGTTATCATTAACATTAATACATAATATACCATGATTAGGTATAGTGAAACTGATAAATAGACAATAAAGAAATATAATGCTAAAAATATTTTTCAAGTTATTAAATTTAGTTTTATAATTATTATAATATCTGTATAACCCGGCTTTGCCCGGAAAAAAAATGAACAAATATAAAATAAAGTATTGTATATCAGTTTTAGAGTACGTCAGTTCGAGGGCAAATCGGTGTCGGTGACTTCGCTTTGAGACCGAGATGGGAAATCCGCCTGTGGGGGATTAGACATAGGCAACACTTGGTATATTTTCGAACGTGATTAAAACTACTCTTTGCACTTTTCTGATGTCTCTAAGAAAGTAGAAACAATCTCTGAAAATTTCATCAAAATCGATCTAGTAGTTTTTGAGTATATAAGCTATAATTCAAAGCGTACATTCATTTATGTATATATATAAATACATAAATAGAGAAGGATAATTATAGAAAAAGGGAGACAAAGATTGTATACAAGTCTCTTTAATATTCAATTTTCGTGAGCCAAAACGAAATTCCTGTGTGAGTTACCTATAGCAACGTGTAAAGGTAGGCATAATAAGCTATTTATTAACACTCCCTGCATTTCAAGGAATATGTGTACAAAATTTAGTGTTAATTGAATAAGTGGTTCCGGAGATTAGTGACTACTAACAAACAAACTTTTTACTAGCAAATATTTTTTTATTTGTTGAATGAGATAAAGTAAATAATGTTATCTTAGAAAACATACTAACCTAAAAACATATAATAAAATATTTAAATAGATTTAGAAATATACCAAAAAATAATATGCTCTCGATGGCCATGATGCCGAGGGTTCAATTTAAAAAAATATAAATATATTATACATCATTAAAAACAATTAGACTATTCATGATAAAATATGACTTCATATTAATATCCAAAATAATTCTTAGAAACCATTAAATAGGAATGTAGTAATTATCATTACAAAACCATCTTCTTACCGATTTGAAATCCATAAACATTTTTAAAGCTGTATTTAAGTTATAGGTACCTAAATAGTACGCGCTTTCAAATAACTAAACTATAACAGCCATAACTATGTTTGTACTGAACAAATTATAATACCCAGACCACAACATCAAAGTACTGATCATCTTGACGGATCATTCTATTTTCAAAAAGTTTGTTATTAGTCATAGTAGTAGAAAAGTTTAGAATATTAACGAGAAAAAGTCTTGAAGCTTCAATAGACTCAAGCCCCTAATAGCTTGTAGTCTATATAAATAATGAAATCTCCACTCAGTTATTTAAAATCATGTAAATGACGAGTGCAATACGATATCAAATAGGTAAAAATTCAGGGAAGGTAGTAAAAATGTTGATATTAAGGTACTCACAGTAAAATATGGGGCTTTTTGTCGAAAAGTGCATGATATAAAAACGATTGAAATAATTAATATCACATAGGTACCTCATCCGAATAAATATTTTTAGTAACTGAAAACTAACTATAAGTTACTTACTTAACTAAAACAATTTACAAAAAATATTTATTTAACAAGTATAGGTACCTACAATAATTTTATTGATTCATTAAATGTTAAATTTATTTAAATTAGCATAAAGTGAAGAAAATAATTGTATTAATTAAATTAGTTCAATAATATTAAAATATTCAACTACATAAAAATATACCTAATTTTTTAGGCAATATTATAATAGTATAATAAATTGTGAACAAATATAAAAATACAAAATTACCATAGAAAAACACCACTATTGTATTTTCAATGTTTACAAATACATATGAAAATAAAATAACACTATCTAAATTTGTTTTGATACTAAACAGAATATTTAAACAAATAATAAAATATGCCAAGCGGTTCATTCCCAGCCATGATTAATAAGACGACATCAACAATTTCATTTGACGCTCCCTGAAGAAATTCAAACCATAAACTGTACAAATTATTTGACGATTCTACAGAGTTAAATTTAAAAATAATTACGAACGTATGCAACATTATTTTCGAAAATAACTTCATTCGTCAAATAGAAGGAAAATTACAGCCAAAACAATATTTCAATGATATTTTCGAGTACGTATGTACTTAACTAATCTAATAAATAAAATGGCTCAAAATATTTTTAAAGATTTTCGAAAAAAAAATTAAGAATTAGTATAATTCATACAAAAAATCAGATTCACTTTCATACAGAAAATATTATTGAAAATTTGAAATATTATGTATTTGATAGTACTTATATACATTTGTAATAAAATTGCATGTCTGACTAGATTACATTTTTCAACTGCAATCCTAAACAAAAGTCGTAAACGTAAAATCTAAATCCCAAAGGTCCAATATATTTGACTTTTTCCACTTAACTAACAATTCAGACGAATAGTCGATCTATGGATGGCAATAATATTTTCATATGGTATAATGTTGATTATTCAAATAAAACTGTAAAATAAAAAAGTGTGATTGCAAAATATTATCAAAAAAAATTAACCAATAACATGCTTACAGATGTACGTATATTTATTTTGTGTAACAATAATAACAATAAAAGTAATAATAACCATTGTTCGACATATAATTATATTCAGTTCAGTTGCATCCGAGTATGCACTTTTTTTTTGTACTAAGTATATATAATACACGTCTATAGAATACTAAAATATGAATTTTAGTCGTCGTATAGAGAATGTCTTCATTATTTTTCCAATGACACATAGTAAATATATAATTTATTAGATCTAGGTATGTATGGTACCAAATGTACAACATAATATAAGAAATATGTTTCACATACGACGAGTTAGTGAAGATCGAGGATACTACGAATTATTCATTTATTATTGACAAAAATTACTAAACAAAATATTTTATAACATGTTTACTCAAATTAATCTTAATAAAATGATTGTTTAATTTATATGCGACAATATCCTATTAAATGTTGTTTATTCTTAATGTGATTACTAAATCACTATTAAAACATATTATCATGACAAAAGTAAACATTTTATAAGGCGGTATAATATTATGTGAGAAATAAATATTAAGAAAATAAATATTAAATTATTATTAACTATTAACCATTAGTTTATTAGTCGCTACATTGTGAAAGTACGAGTGTATAATATATTTCACATTTTTATCAATGAATTATTATTATCAAATAAAGGTACATATTATTTTGGTATCTGATTTAATTATTATAATACTATATAGAACAAATAGCAGTATCTATAAAACAAAAATAATTTTTGGTCGACGTTTGAGTTTAATGTTATATTTTATAATATTTACATGTATTATGCTTGTACATACTATTCTTAACTAACAATTAAAGAGCTGACCATCAAATAAAATAAAAGTGCACAATTTTAAATATAATTTTTTAAATATAACAAGCAATATTAACGTAATGTTATTCAAATGTGTTCATTTGTTAAGATGTTTATTAAAAAATTTCATGAATATAGGTACCATAGTTGAGTAATATTTATTATTTAAATATACATATTTGAAATTTACCTTTACATCATATTACTTTGTTTAATTAATTTTAAAAAAATTTTAATTTTTTTCAACTTACAGGTGTAATATAATTACTAATGCAGCTAATTGCATGTTTAATATATTTATTTTTTTTTTTTTAATTATTCTGTTACGGTTACCAATAAAAAATATTATATAAGTACCTAATAATAATGAAATTATTGACAAAAAAAAACATTTTATGGATACACATCTAATATTATTTATAAAAAAAAGTTGTATTTATTTATGACAACCATAATATACCCTTAACCACTTCAATCGAGGTTTTGTATCATTTATTTAAAAAATATAAACATATACAAAATTGTTACGTCGTCGGAAAGGATTCTTATAAGCCAATATCAAATATTATCGAATCCCCCATATACTCAAAATAATAACTACAGAATACAAGTACACAAAAATAAAACTATAACAAAACGGTGTATTAAATACCTAAATAATTCTGGTGACGGACAAACGTCATAATATAATGCACTCGGAATTTCACTCGTTTCAAATTGGATTGGGTTCGCGCCAAAATTAAAATGTTTTTTAAACACTTTGAATTTATGAAAAAAAAAAGTATAAAAGTTTGATGCCTTGAAAATAATTGTAAATTATTGCTAACACTATAATATACTCCTACGATCATCACTCGTATTATTTACGTAGGTAGTTATTTTTAATAACGTCTGCAGTTTGCTCGTATGCACTTACGCCATTAATTAGAATTATTTATTTGGCGGCACATCGATATTATATTATGCATCTACACCTATATATTATTATCATGAACACGTAAATAAGACAATTGATTTTCCCGATCGATATTTTTTTTTATCGTCGATATATGTAGATGATATTACGATGATACTTAATGTGAAACATATCGTTTAGGTGTATAATATTATAAAATATATATAATATAATAATAATATTACGATGTATACATATTTACTCGATCGTAAAAATAAAACGATATAATATAATATTACCGATGTCTTACCTTGTGTGTCAACGGTGTTTTGTGGTGGTGGCGGTGGCGACAGATATATATGTTGCGTGTCGGCCTCGGAAGCACCCTCGGAAAGCCGATGATCACGTTGTCCGGCAGGACATGTCCGGAAGACGGCGATCGTTTTCGGGATTAAATCCTTTAGCCGGCGGCGATCAGATCACTAAAATTTCTATATTTCTAAAACCTATTTGCGGACGTCGCTGCGACACCTATATTTTAAATGACGATGGTTACGACAACCGCCGGCGACCGCAACCACACTCGACGACGATCACACACGTCCCGACGAAAACGGGGGAGAACAGTACTGTTCTTGCTCTTTCTCCCTTTTTACCGGCGCAACGCAAGACTTACAACCCGCAGACGAGACTCACTGTTGTTCAGCACAACTGCAGTAGCGGACTAATGTTATATTGCAGTATATAATTTAAGGTCTCGGGAGTACTCGCGGCGAACACCAGTCGACAATTTATTGTACGGAACGAATTTTTTTTTTCAAATCCAATTCACGGCGGGTCGACTTCGGGTCGGACACGACGGCCAAACGAGGATAAATATCACGGCGACAGTGTAATAATAATATCCGATGGCCAAACACGCGTAGCGGCGACACGGAGGTAAAAACGCGAACGGACGGAGACGGCGAAGCGAACACGACGCACTGGCTCTGTCGGCTGCGGCACGTCCGGACCACACGACGATCAGGTCTTCGTCGGCGTGCGCGCGGCATAATATCCCCTCACTACCGCTACCGACAGCTGTTGGCGGCGGCGTCGGCGTCGGCGACATCGCGCGCGCGTTTCGTTTAATTTTTATTTTCATTTCTTTTTTTCTCCTTTCCCCTCCCCACCCCCCGTTTTTACGCTCACCAATAGCTCGGCGGTTTTCCTCTTAAACCTGTTGATCCACCGCGATAACTATACGGTAAATATACATGTGTACAACATTATTATCATATATACCGACACGCCACCGCCGCCGCCGCCGCCATCAAAGGGTCCGTTTAAACGTTACAACTCACAATTATATATATATCATTGTAATAGGTAATGACAGGTTGAAGGTATATAGGGGCGAGCGCACCATTAATGTAATAGATATTTGCCGTAACTGTACAGAATATACCCAACGATTTTGCACACCGGTGAATTCATCGTTTTTAATTCAAAATAGGTAATGTACAAATATTATTCGATACATTATTGCCGTTATAAATACAAATTCTTATTTTTATGGTTCTTTTCGTATGTTTAAATCGCATATTTGATTGGGGGAGGTGATATGAATTTTGGCCAGATTAGGCCCATATAATATTTTAATATAAAAAAGTTTAATCTGTATAAAGTCTTCAAAAATATTTCCCTAATTTTGTGTGCATATAAATACCTATATATAGTATACGTAATATTCCGTGGTTTTTTTAAGTAAATGCATTAATAATTCACAGCCCTACAGTTAAAAGTATTTCTCGTTAATATATATTGCCTAATTCTTCTTTCGGCTGTCATGCTTATACCCGGAGTAGTAATAGTAACCGTCATAATGTTAAATACTTGTGACTAATAACTGGTGGATCATTTAAATTTATAAGACCTACAAAGTGATCCCTGCCATTTTTCAATGTGCAATTTAAACAGTCTTGTAATTATATAGCACGCAGAAGACCACTACACATGCAGACTTTTAAAACGCATTCAGACAATCGCATGTCAAATGAAAGTAATTTGTTCCTTATAAAACAGTTTCACATACCTAAACATTATGATTATGTAAATGATCGTCAAATATAATAATAATATAATATGATGTACCCATTGTACCCACTACCCATATTATATAAATTTAAATCACACATTTATCAGTGACCGTATAACACCAATAGTAGTTGGCAATTGTGATATTTTAATTTTTAACCATACGTTTTGTTCAAATCATAAACCTGTCGTGTATAGTACAATATTTTGAACTATGGGCCGGTACCTATCAGTGACATAAAGAACATATTTATTAAAGGGTAGTCAATAAAATAATATCATAATATAATAGGTAGCAGAATATATTACACTATTAATTACCTTCGTTTTAGTATGTAGGGTCTTATAGTTTATGTTTAATATTATGAGTATAGGTAGGTAATAATGTAATATCATAAATTATGATTAAAATAGTTAATGAATCTTAACAGTATACATAAAATCTATAATAACCTTTAAATTGCGTACCGTGTGTAGTAAAATCACATTTAAAAAGCTAAAAATTAGTACAAAAAAAAGTGATAAATATTGAACTTAATAATGTAATATTAGTTACAGTTATCGTTAATATTTCCACATACCTATAGGAATAATGATTATTTAAATGCAGCAAGAAATTCAAAAAGCATTTTCGATGTCGGATGTATAGTGAAATGTAAGCAAATAGGACTTCAGTTAATAATGATACTAACTGGTAGGAAAGAATTATTTACTTTTGCTCAACATTGAATAAATATTGGTGTTCAACTTGTTCGAAGTTTTATTACATTTGATGGTATTATAACATAAAAACTTGGTAGTTTCAAAATTAAAATTAAAAAAAAAACGCGTTTAGTATATTTTTAAAAATGTGAATTTTCATTAAACAAAAAAAATCTAAAAATAAAACATCAACAGATGTTTGTACAACTATAGTCTATAACAAATTACAAAAGTGTTACAACAATTTACATATTATTTTATTATTTAAAATGTGGTGCAATATTTATGGGTAGGCATATTATGTTATGATATTATTATAATTATTATGCAATAGGTACTATAGGCGTCTAGGCGTGGTACTAGATTCATCATAATGCATAGAATTCGGTACATTTACTTAATCGTTTCAAACAGGATGTAATGCGTGCACGTAATGTGCAGTCTAAAATTCTTCATGTAAGTTTTAAGAAAACGCCTATCCACCTACCTACCTACCCTCTGACGTAGTGTTTTGAAATTTCTTAACAACAGCATTTCCAAAATTGTCATCTATGTAACATAACTCCTTATATTATTATAAATGTGCAATACTTACTTGTGTGCTTGGAACCGACCTCGTTGCGCAAATTCTCCGTCAGGTTGTTCTGCGGATTTTTCGCCAGATCGAATGCATTGTATCTAATACTCGCATTTCCTTTGAACATCTCTACCAGAGTTTTTGTCATCAATCCACAAGACTGTTTTCCAGACACTCTCCAGTAGCCGTCAATGTCGTATATGAGTAATACGTTTTTCCATGAATACCTAAAAAAACCCTTTCAAAAACGTTCATTTAACTCCCCTGTTGTCACGTACACCACTAGAAGTTACACCACACCGGTAGTGGCTACCTTTTTAAAACGCTGACTACCACGTCCCCTATGTCCTGGAAATCTAAAGTGCCTGTACGCACTAGTAGGAAATACTTGCTTTTTGGATCTTGTTTGTCCAATGAAAAATCATTCGTAAATCCACCCGTTGTGAGCAATGGTGCATTCCAAAACTTGATCATCCTTGCAACGAGATCTAAAAACAAATATAATAAATACTTGAAAAACAGGTGAACTTTTAATTTTAAAAATAAAATAAAATCTATTTAAAATGTGTATGTAACTGGTTTTTAAAAGTATAAACTATTATAATGTAAAATTATCATATAGGTCATCACAAAATACTATGAATCAATAGAACAATTATTTTGTGTGCTTAAGAAGAATCTTATTTTTTTCATGACAAACTTAACACGGATCAATAAACTTCTACAAAAATTTTATTTATTTTGATGACTAAATTTTATCAGCAAATGACAAAGCTTATAATTTGCACAGCTAATCATCTGTTCTAAATTCTAATACATTGTGTCATTTCTAGAAAAGATGCAAAATTAAATACTTTTCCTATCATAAAATTATTGTTTTATTTAATTTACAAATTACAATCATATATGATAAATTGTATAAATATCTAGAATTTAATATATAAACATAAATTACATTTGTATCGATTTATATAACTAAAGCGTGCAGTTATTTAAAAATATTTTTTCTACAAATATTCAATACTGTCCGGTAAGTATAGACTATAGACGTATGGTAAACACTCGAAGTTATTAGAACAATTCAATTCAGTATTTACAGATTATCACTAACAGTATTATAATTTATGATCGCATATAAATATTTAATATTTTAATAAGTAAATGACTGTGAAATGTCTTATTTGAACAATTATTTTATATATTTAGAACTTCATTTTTAAGTAGGTACCTACCTCAATTAAATTTAATCACTTAAAATGCAATAAATTGTGGAAACATGTGTCGGGTACTTGTACTTGGTACACTTTATACAAACATACAAAACAATACAATTTAAAATTAATGAAACACAACATTTTTCTTTTGTAAAAAAAGCTTTATTTGAAATACGTAAATCGTAGTTAGGCCATAGTAAGCAAACAAAAAATATGTTACTTTTTTTGTATGCAGAACTAAATGATAATACAATTATATTAAATAATATTTGGAGAATTGTATGAGAAACTGATTCTTTTTAGTCTAATAATCGAATGTCAATTTTTTTTACATATTCGTACAATTATATACATCTTTATTTTAAAAATATTAGTTAAAACTTAAAATGTCAATACAATATTTTTGTTTCCTCTCCCAGGATCACACGAAACATAGATAAAACGCTTTTTAAGTAACTTTAGAGCAAAAGCACGAAAATTATGGGGAATAATATTTTTGAGGGTATGATGATTTAACGGTTTTATATTTTATTATTATTTGACTTTGTATTCATCTCTCAAAATAATAAAATATTTTTATACATTTGAATGATGTTTAAATTGTTTTGAGACAATATTTGGACAAACCGGTATGTTATTTCCTCGAAAATATTTTTCTCCGTCGATTTTGTAATGGGTGGTTTTACTCTAAGATTCTTTTTAAACATAAAAAAGATGATTCTTCGTAAATAAGTTTTATCTATGTTGTGAGTGAGCCAGAGAGAGAAAACAAACAGACATCCTAACTTATATCCGTCGACTTAATTCTTGTAGTTTCTTAAAAAAATGTAATCACTGTACATTAATAACCAAGTTTGGTCTAAACCAAATGTTGTGAAATAGTGTTAGAAATTTATATCCTATAATAAGTACTTAACATACATTCTTTCCAGCTTAACAATGTTAGGGGGGCTCAACCTTCAACCTAAAAAATTACATTTTTTTTAGTCTACTGAACAACCGTATTAACCAATATGGTACAAAGCCATGGGAATTATAGTGGGTATATACTATATAGTATTAAATACACCAATATAGCAGTTGGTGTGTATTATATAATTTTGGTATATTTTAAAAAGTATTTAATGTAAAATGTCTAACTTACTTCTTACTAAAGTTAATAATTATTTTAATTGTTGACTTAATAAATTGTTTGTCATTGACTAACTCAAAAGTTCTATTAAAAATGTCTTTGTTCATTTGTAATAAAATATAAGAGTTGTACTTATTTTAATTTTTAGTCTAAAACCTTGGGTTATATTCTAATGTTATACATGCAATATTTCGAAAATAACTTGTAAACATTTAATTTATAAGCTCTTGACGTTTGAAGTACTTGACAAAAAATATGATTTATTATAGATAATAAATTCGTTTCACTCATTATAATTCCATAATTCATCGCTTTAAAATGTAATATGGCAGCATAAATTTAATACAACATATATATTATCATTTAAATACGCACGATTATAATTTATAACTTATAAGTAACTCACCCAAAACAACGGTCTACACATTACGCATAACGTGCCTGGTGTTTAAATTTAATCGTTTGAATTTTTGCCCTAAATTGCATAGTTGCATCGGTAGTGATCATGATGTTGTTAATATTTAATACAATTTTAAATTTATAACAAATTATAATAAGCAGATTTGTCGTAAATAGGTTAGTGTTTAACATTTGGCAGATAATGGAATAAGTTTTGTCATCTTGATACAAATTTGAATTAATCATTATTCATTTTACAGCTTAGAACATAACTGACTTAACCGTTTGATTGGTTGATTTAGTCGATTAAAACAACAATTGAAGCGAATAAAGGGGACAAGCTACCCCACACATTTCGCTACTGGTTATAAATAATTAATCGTAAAATGGTCCACTGGATTTATGAAAACACGTTTTACAGAACAACATATAACTTTCAAAGTAGACGTACAAACATAATTTACTTACTATGTATAAATCTATTATTCAATATAGTATCTAATGCAGTTTAAATGTAACATATATATTTACATCATATTTAGTCTTCCTTTAATCCAAGATAAATATTATTCCGAAATAAACTCGATAACGAGACACTTATAAACATATTATTACTTTTACTAATACTATAATAAAAAATATATTATTGTGTATTTTCATTATTTAAATCTTATTATAGGTTCTATATTTATCTGTAAGCTATGATCATTAGTTTATTTTATTCGCATATAAATCATTACAATAATACTATTCTTTATATGACCATTTAAAAAGATAAATAAATTGCTATTTATCTTTAATCTTACTTTATTATATTAATATCATTGATATTAGTATAAGATTATAGACAAATGAACAAACTAACTGTATTCAAATAAATAAACTTAAAAAGTTTTAAAAATGTGAACAATTTTATTCAATATGTTAATATAAATATTATAAGAACAAAACAAGATAACCATATATTGTACGTTTGTAAACTTTATTTTTGAGAAATATTGTTTATCTTACTCAATTTTTTTTCAACCACACAATAATAATATGTTAAGACCAGATTGAAATATCAGACAAATTTGTTACATGCACACCTCTATATATAAGTTCATGGATGAAACAAAACTTATATAAATATATTCAATTTTGTTGGCCGTCTGTTGCACATTCTTGGTATATATTCATACAATTTGTTGTACGTTCGTTAAAAATGTATGAATAATTTTCCAAAATGACCACTAAGTTTGCACTGACGACCGACCCTTCGTCGAACACTTCAAAAACAATCTAAATTTTTTCCTTCGTTCTGTTAGACATTGTTGAAACGGTACCATACCTAATAAAGCGTGAAAATTGTACCTATTTTAAAAGTGTTCGCCAAAATACAGACATATACAATAATTATAAGCTGTTGAATGTGCATACGGTAAAATATAAACTTATTTTATTGTTTACATTTGACTTGAGAATAATTTTTAATAACAAAGGTAGGGGGACTTTCAAATTGATAATTTATTTTGAACTTTGATTTTCTAGGACTCTAACCTTCGTAACTACTAAAGCCTACAGTTACTCTCAAGCACAGATATGTTGAGGATAATCTGATATGAAATAACAAAGCACGACATCTTACAGATAACAAAAACATTACCAGAAACTTATTGACAATAAAATAATACAATAATGTAATATGTATATACATTGACATTATGGTGGGATTGTTCGTCCGATAAGTGCATTCAGGTAGTAATAATTACATAGGTACCATAGGGACTGCCAAAGGCGCCAATTTTGGAGGGTTGAAACCCGACAATAGTAATATTGAATAAACTTTAAAAAAATAAGAAATTTTGGGGGGGATTAGCCCCTAAAGCCTCCTCCCTATTTGTACCTATGAGGAATATTTACATTAAGTTTGTTTAACGATGTCCTCTCTTTGCCCAGTTGATTAAATATATACCTCTATACTAATATAATATAAAAGATAAAAAGAACTAAATTGTGTACATCAATAATCTTAATGTATGAATCTTATACTTTTTAAAAGTTAAAAAGGTTATGCAAATGTCAATAACAATGGTGTCACATAAGGATAGATTTAGTTTTCATAAATAGGTGCTGTTCAATGTTAATGACGTTAATACCTAATAAATTCGTATACTATATACACCCGTTAAAAATATAATAAAATATGTTCAAGCTAATTAAAAATAAAACCATCACACCCTCAAATTTAAAAATACCTCTATGTAGCTGTAAAAAGTAAAAATAATCAAATCTCATAGTACGATTTGAACATTATATAAAAGTATAAAACTAATAATACTTATATCGATGATATCAATCCCGTGAACACTATTTCAATGGTACATTAAAGCAATTCTTACTAGTATAGAGCCGGACAAGATACATGGATTGAATCGAATATATAAACGCAAGACTATAGTATATTGGGTTAAAGCCATTAAAGTAGGTAGTGACTAGGTACCCTAGTGTAGGTACCTATATTTTATGACATATTATATTGCTCGTCTTAAGCCATTTCAAATAGTTTTATTTTCATATAATTTTAAATTATGACAGTTTCGATACCGATAAAAAAACCAATAAAGGTAACATCTTTATTTAAATATATTATGATCAATTATTATCGATATAATATTTTATAGTTTATTTTATAATACGTAATATTTTAAAACTGTACACTTAATTCAATAACTACCTACATTTTAGCTGAAATGCATTTACA